GGGGGGGTCTGCTAGAATGCTGCACCATCCCTCCCAGCCTGGGTTGACCCTCAATGGTAGGGTTGGAAACCCATCTCCAGAACTATTTAAATTTTATCTATGGGGCTGTAAAATATCAACAATAAGGGGAATGGAGAGGAACAGCTCCGACAAGAGCACGGTATTGTTCATCAGGAGACCTGGCCCTGTGTCCCTTTGTATCGGTAACTGTTTTATAGCGCTTGCAACTGCATGCGGTCATACATGTATTAGCGAGTGGGAAACATTAAACATTTTCAGTTTTGTAGGAACTGATTTTGAAGTTTGCGCGGAAGGGGGAAGGAAAGGGGGGGGGGGGGCAGAAATTGGAGATGAACGCAGATGTCACAACATGAATACAGAGCAGGAAAGGGGGTGAGAGAAGACTGTTTTAGACAATAAAATGTTCCTACACTATCAAGCTTCGGAACCAGGACCTATTGAATGAGAGGCTAAAACCATACCTCTGGACCACAAGAGTACGCTTAGTATCTTTAAGTCCTATGAGGTGATGGACTTTGCCAGAGATAAGGTTAATCAAGCCCCGGAGCGGTCCGGAGATTTATTAGACTAAGTCTCCCAACGAGGATTTAATGAGTACAATTGGTAAACAAAGACTGGGGAAGTAGGGGTAATAAAACCAAAGACAATTAAGCTGCATGTCATACCAGCATCTTTAAATGGCTATGCCAGCGAACAAACAAAACTGAACAAAAAAATTAAATAATAAATAAATAAATATAACTCATCAATTTCATGCTTATTCCAGATTCATGCCATGACGGTGATGAATCCTTTTATTTTTTGCAACTGAGCTTTTTTGAGGTGTGTGTATATTACACCATTTTATGAGCAAACGAAAGGTCACTGAATATATTTTTTTAAGTCAGCGAAATTCTGTTTGAATCCTGCTTTATAGTCTGAATTTGGCTATAAAGGCAGCACTCATAATATTATCGGTATATTCACGGCAAAAGTAATCTGTCAAAATGATTTTTTGAGAAATACTGAAAGTTTCAAAGAGATCTTCCTACTAGAAGTATTCTAAAATGTGAAGAATACAACCCAAGGGGTACAAAATGACCACAGGGCGTACAGATAGGGCTAAATATGTTGATAACGACTCCATATAAACATATGGTTTTGATAGAACAGAACAAGCATTTCAGTTTCTGACCTCAGAACGGCCAAAAATGTCGGAGAGAACTTTGTAAGTCTAAGAGAGCTTAGTGCATTGTACTCGCAGCCCCTCCCCTCCCTCAACCCCCGCCCCCGTGTGTACTCACGCTGTCGTAGTAGAGAGCGTCCCTGTCCGGCATGATGGCCTTCACATCGTTCATCTTCTTCATCTGCTCGATCCGCGCCTCGCCCACGGCCTGCAGCGACACGCGCTCCCACACCTGGGGGGGATACAGCAACAATGGTCACATTTCTTGTTGTTTTGTTGTTTTTGTTTTGGCTGTTTTTGATTTGGTTTTGTTGTTGTTGTTGTTGTTGTTGTTGTTGTTGTTGTAGTTGTCGTCGTTGTTGTTGTTGCTGTTGTAGTTGCTGTTGTTGCG